CGGTGGAGAGAGGAAACCAGAAGAGTCCAGAGACTGAGAGATGAGCAGAGAGCTAGGCAGCGGCAGGGCTAGGCTTCTGACTAGTTGAGATTCAGTCCTTGAGTTGCTCTAAGTTCTCTCCTTGAGAACAGGCAGGCAGATTCAGACTGTAGATCTTCTGGTTTAGCTTCCAAGGGCACGTAGGCGGGTTTCAGAAGATGAGCTCCTCCAGAGCTCCTGAGAGGCAGCAGGCAGATTTCAGGAATGGAACTCTCCCAGAGCTCCAGGGTTCAGTCAAGAGCAGGTTGGCTGGTTTCAGACGATGAGCTCCTCCAGAGCTCCAGAGATGCGGCAGGCAGATTTCAGCGAGGGGGACTCCTCCAGAGTCCCAGAGTTCAGTCAGGTTTCTTCCTAGAAGCAGAGAAGACAAAACTGATCAGGTTCTGGTTCTGGTTACAATGGAGTCAGAGAATCAGACAGGCTGGTTGGCTCAGGGTTGCTGTACCGTGATTAACTAACACTCTGGCGTCGGGGTGTTGTCCACAGCCCACATAAGTACTGGTCCCCTGATGAGCAAATGAGAATCAGCTGGCTCCAGGTTCAGGAGATCCAGTATGCCATCTGGTGGAGGAAGGTAGACAGCACCCCACATCCCAACAGATGAACAAACAATCAGGAAGGGATCCTCGGCGCCCTCTGGTGGGCAAGCCTCTGGATCCCAACAAAAAAATGTTAAGCGTTTATCTAGGCTGCTAAATGGAACTGGCGAAAATCCAAAAAAGGGCTGTTTTTTTCTGCTGTTTTCTGTTTTGTATTTGTAACTAGAAAAATGGAAAACTGAAGTAGAATCCGTTTTTTGGTTTTGGTTTTCATTAAAAAAAAGGAACTGCCTGAAAGAACAAGGACCCATTTCCAGAAATGCTTTTTCATTTTAAATTTGTGGCTGCATTGCTTGACTCATAAATGAAATTAGTAATCAATCATCCTATTTGCATTTTCTTCTTTAAGACTGCACATTTTATGCCATAATCATGGAGAAAACATAGCAGACATTGCTTTTTCGATTTCATGGTCTGCCAGCAACGTACCGTCCGCCCCCTACCGAACAAGATGGGTAGCCCGTTCAGCAAGGACCTGAGGAAGAGCGGCTGCTGACGTCACTCTGCTTCACCTGCCGCTCATAATGCTCTTTAATTTTTGAGTTATAGACAGTCTGCATATGTTTTTTTTTTTTTTTTTGCATATGTTTAAGTTGGACATGTATTTGTTGCATATGTAGATGCTGCATATGTCTATAATGCATATGTAGATGCTGCATATGTCGATAATGCATATGTATATGTTGCATATGTAGATGCTGCATATGTAGATGCTGCAATGGTTAATGCATTTGCTCTCAGCTGTTGGTCCTTGTCGTTGGTCTTTGATACCTGTTCCCCTCGCCATTACAAACAATGGAAGTAGATTTAGTGTCTGGATCACCGGGGTTTTCAATCGCAGCTCAACCAACCGAACATTTTTTCTGCACTAGGGGGCCTAATAGGCCATACCCCAGAGCTTCTCAATATAAAAGGGTGGCATTTTGATAACTTTAAAGATCAAAATGCATTATTATGAGGCCTATTATTTGAGTTAACCCTTTTATGAATTATGGGTGGCATTTTGAATCATTTTAAATATCCTCCAAAGATATGTATTATCAGTTATGACTCTCATAAAACCAACAAGTTAGCATCCATTGGCCTATTACGCCCCCTAGTGTCAACACAGCACAGCATCTACATATACAACATTGTCATATGCAACATCTACATATGCAACATAAATATGTGCAACATTGACATACACAGCATCTACATATACAACATTGTCATATGCAACATCTACATATGCAACATAAATATGTGCAACATAGACATACACAGCATCTACATATACAACATTGTCATATGCAACATCTACATATGCAACATAGACATGCAACATAGACATACACAGCATCTACATATACAACATTAGACATATGCAGACAACACATATGCAACAATGGCACAACATCTAGACATTTTACACCTGCTTATTTTTGATACAAAGGGAACCTCATAGTGTGCATAAAAATAGCATCCACCATTAATCCGTCTTTAATTCAGCATGTGTGAAACCAGTGAGCATTTTTTATGATGTAAGTATACATTTCAAGTCCAATATTGTGTTTTATGTCAGTTATATCTTATTATCCCAGGAGGTGAAATAGTCCTTGTGTTTCTCTGGTTACTGAAAATGCAAGAGTTATAATAACTCTTAATAATAATAATAATAATTTATTTATTATACTTTGCCAGATATATTGTCATTTTATTAGTGTGTCGGCATTACCGTTCATTTAATATTTTCCGACGGTTTTGTCAGTTATATGTTTATTGCGTTTGACCAATAATACATGTGTGGTGTCATGACGCCCTCCAGTGGATTTCTATGGTAGGCTACTACAGGCCATTTTCATCCTGCATCTATATGTACCAGTTTTGCCTGCATGGCTATAAATAACTATCTTTATTGTTATTTCTGTTTCAGATAACCACACTTCGACATACATATCCTTAAGAAACAAAATATAAACCTCATCTTGATCTGTACCACCATCTCCAATGTACCTGCATCTATTCCTTTAATAAACCTTCTGAGCCACACCAATGGAGTTGACATATTCCTTCTGACAGAGGAAGATTCAATTGATGAGATATCTGGAATTAATGCATATTAAACGTACACAGTCTTCTACAGGGAGGGAGAGGAGGAATGAGAGAAAGAGTTTTTTTTTTTTTTTTCAGAAATAAAAATAATGACTGCTGCATGAGTGTGAGGGGTTTGCACACCTCCCTGTCCTCTGAGGTTTGGAGGCAGGGG